TAAAGAAGAGGTTATAGACAATCCAAGAAGGGAACCAGAGTCTGTGGAGCGCAGTTTCGTGGTATTAAAAGATAAATGTGGACGAATGAATAGTATTTTAAAGAAATAAAAAGTAGAGAGGTTTTGGAGCTATTGAATGAAACGTGGTTTGCAATGCCCCAGGAGGAGATTTGTTCGAGATCGGAGTCCAGTGACACATTAGCTGCACTACGGTCACTATCGATTTTGGTTTGAGCATGGCGAGCAGTGCGGTAGGGAGGGAGAGGGAGCAGTGGAGAATGGCGTCATCAGCAAAAGAATGGATCGGATTGGCACTTTTGGAAAGGAGATCATTGATAAACCAAAGAAAGTTTCAGTTTCAGTTTTTACAACTACTAACCATGCACTAACGTGCGCCGGTTTTGGTTGCTGTCTTTTGGATATCCATTTGGATGAGGAATAGGAGAAGACAGGAAAGTTGAAAGTAGAGTGGAACAGAAAGTGGAGAATTTCAGTGGTCTAATGTTGCTAGGAAATTGAGATGCACGAACGCCACTGTTTACGACACCCAGCCATATCTATCAGTGTCTCTAACCATCAGTTACGATTATCCCGAGGTTCCCATCCAGGGAGCCTAACGGGACCCATGTGACCCAGTCCCCTGGTCAGGGTTTTCATACCCTCGTGCCAGGTCTTAGCTTGACCATCCTTGGCTTTATTCCACCCACTACCTGCCTCGGCGAACATCGCTTGCCGTGGCAACCTATCTGATGACATGCGTAAAACAACCAATGTAATCTGTGGAGTACGACCAGTTGCCCCAGTGGTCGACCGCGGTTACCTAAAACTCTGCGCCTAACCTCAGCATTGCTCGTCCGGCTGCCCCACCATATTTGTGCAATGCTGCGTAGACAGCGGGGTTTGAACACCGACAGTCTATTTTTATCCTGTTTCTTTAATGGCCAGGTTTCTGCGCCGTATGGCAGAACTGACCAAACTGGCGCAGCATACACTCGACCCTTCACAGACAGCCGGATGTTGTGACGGCGCCACAGATGTCTCAATTTGGCAAATGCCAAACGAGCCTTCTGTATGCGAGCAGACACTTCATCCGCGATGTCCACTGAGTGAAATATAGCTGCCCAAATAACAAAACTCGTCTACTTGCTCTATTAACTCCCCAGTTAGAGTAAGCCTCAAACCTGAAAGGCACGGGACACCTACTTTACCTAATGGCTCTGTACATTTCTTCATGCCTCGTCTCCACGTCATCTGTTGACCTCCACGTGGTTTCCTCCAGCCCGGAGGTGCTACAGCGAATAAGGCGCGATGTGGTAGACGGTGACTGGTCATATGCAATGCATGTCCTAGCCAGCGAATTCTACTAATGTGAAGTCGGTTTGCTAGCAGGTTTATCCCTTACCCTCTCAAACACACGACAGCTTACCTCTAGTTTGCCAACCCATTCGCTCCATCCCACATGGGTTAAACTACGTACACACCGATAGTCGAAAACCTCTACTCGATCGGTATCTTCCACTAGTAAATACAAGGTCTCACAACCATAAAGCAGGACTGAAAGAACGATAGCGCAACATGCACGACATTTCAACTTCAGAGAAATTTCGCGTCTACGCCAAAGGTGTTTCAGTCCTGCATATTCTGCTCGAGCTTTGGAAATGTGGGCCGTTATCTCCTTTGCTGCGCTACCGTCAATGGTCTGGCAGCTACCTAAGTAGGAAAAGTAATCCACCGTAACTATTGTCTGGCCATTTAGTTTCAGAGCGGGAGTGGGCGAAACCCAGTCCTGCTGCATCACTTAGCACTTTGAAGGTAGTAAGCACACACCGAATGTGGCAACCGCACTTGTTACTCTATCAAGTGCACTTTTCGCGTCCTCCATACATTCGATCAGACGGACAATGCCACCGGCGTACTCCAAATCGCAGTTTTTCTCCAGCCTCCCATTCAATACCTACATTTTGGAGACCACTTGGTGCTTTCTGCAGTATGTCGTCTGCGACGAAATTGAACAGAGCACCCTTGACGAATGCCGCTGCTAGTGCCGAACGGCCTACCTAGTTCGTGGTAAACCCTTACACGACCAGAGGTATGCTAGTACAGTGACCTCAGTAAGTTAACTTACGTCTAGGGCATTCCTTTTCGAAGAAGGAAGCTTATCAATGCACCACGGTCAACCGAGTCGAACGATCCTTTCAGATTAATGAACACTACGATTGTTGGTTGACGGTGGGTGTGATGCAATCTAGAAATTTGATCAATACATCCACCGCCAGGTCGGAATCCGGCTTGTTCACGGATGTTGATCTCTCTTGAAGGAGTCAGACGTCCAAGTGTGACTGAGACTAGCACTTTGGTGACGATCGGGATCAAAATTATCTCGCGGTGGTTTTCGTTATCGTTGCGAGATTCTTTTTTTGAAAATGGGAACGATCAGTGATTCTCCCCAAGATGTAGGAATGCGCTCTTGCGTCCAAATATTGCGCAGTACGATAGTAAGGAACTTACGAGGTTATCATCCTCATCTTGGAGAGAACGGGAGGGAGCTCACCCGATCCTGCTGCCTTAGCTTCAGAGTTTGAATGCAAGACCACACTTCTGCTTCTGATGGAGACCCGCACGAAACTGCCCACGGAGCTTCAGTTACAGGTGAAGTAACCTCGATAGCGGCAGGTCCGCTGAAGTATTCTCCCCAGCGATCAAGTTCATCCCTGTTGTGAACAGCTTGTCCTGTTTCACTTACTGGAGTTCGCCGACCTCCCGTATTGCGTATCAGGTGGAGCAGTCTTTGACTATTCCCTGATGCAGCTGCTACTTCCACTTCACTAGCTATTGTTGCCCACCAGTTTTCACGATCCC